ACCTTGTTTAGTGAACTTAATATTTGAAAGAGAGAAGGGAAAAAAATGTTATTTTCTCATCAAGCAAAATACTGTAGTTGTCAAGAACCTATTGCGTGGTCGTGATGAATGCAATGTTGACAAGTCAGAAATCAGAATGATAAATTATATATATCTATTAAATGTGAGGAAGAAATATCATGAGATTTTATGGCAGCTGACAAAATAAAACAAGTGGCTATGGTTACACCAGTCTAATGAATTTCTAGTTCTGATTGAATGTTATTGTCAAATCCATACAAAAATAACAACCAATTAGGAGGAATTCATTTAAGACTCGTGTAACAAAAGCAACTGCCTAAAATATATATTTCATTAAAACTATTTTTTTTGCAGTGACAGGTGAGCTAAGAGGCCAAAGATAAAATTTTAAATAGTAGTCAAAATTATCATCGATGGGTTCACAAAACAAGGTATAGCAGGTATGTATAGCAAATTCTTGATTTGGAATTTTTCTTTAAATAAATTGTTTGGTTTATGAATGAGCTGCCTGTTTACTATCTTATGATCTTGGAATGGGCTTTTTTATACATCAGGCACTTTGTGTAATTAGCTATTTTTTTAAAGCGATAACATTAGGCCAAGTACAAAAAAAGTAAGTTTCTCGTCCTAATATTTTGAAAAAAGAGGAATGAGGGCACTTCTTTTTTTGTTTTTTTTTTACTTCCCAGGTGGCAAATCCAAGATGGCCGATGGGAAACAGCTACTACTTTCTCACTTTTACTTTTTTTTTTTTTTTTTCATTGAAAGCAAATAAAAGAAGCACTAGACATGATTCACACCATGTTTTCCCAACCACGAATGATCGAGAGGAATTTTACTGATGGGAGTTTTTGTGCATTTTGTAAACTAAAGGAAAAAATAAATTTTGTGAGGCAGAGAAAATGGATGCGAGAAGGGAAAAGAAACTAGAAATATTTTTTATTTGGCCTTAGCTCTCGTCAGTAGACGATATCACAGACATTCTCTACACATTCCATACAAAGTCAATATCTGATCTCGAAAGGTTTTGGTCAAGTACTACATAATAAACAAACCTTACTGTCGTTATGCATAATGCCGGATCACATTTTGTCGCAATGTTTATTTGATACTGCCTATCAAGCCTACGGGTTAAGATTTATCTTCAAAGTTTACTGGCCTATATTTCTTAGCCAGACACAGATAAACTCGCATGTTGCTAAAAAAACAGAAGGTTTAGACAAGACTTTTTTATACCTTCTTTCGCAAACTCGTCAAATGCTGATAGTGATGATTTCGAATAAAATTTAAAAAAAAATTATTTGGCCTATTAGTGCATGCACCAGGAAAAAATGAAAATTTCAGAAAAAAATTTAATTCTGATTTATTACGCTCGCCGCCACATTCAAATCTTCCAAAATAACATCTACATTTTTCTTTATATTATTTTAAGTATTTATCAATTTCATTACCAAACTATTTATATTCAATTTATTTTTGTATTTTCTCCTTCTACTGGTAGATTCTTTTGGCCAAACAATTTTGCTAAATAAGAAAATATAATTTTATTTTTATTCATTTTCTATCCTCCTTCCTTCGATCTTAAATTAAAATAAGTTCGCTAAACAACGTATAAAATATTATTAACATGTCTCCTGATACGTATAGTATGTAGGTATATCCTTTGTACCATTCTTTTATTATGTATTAAAGATCGACTAGATCTAGGCCAATACACCACAGCCAATCTGAAGCCACTGAGTCTCACTGTAAAGCACTTAGGATAAATATTGAAATGCAAGATAGAATAAAATATGTCACATCATGAGGAGAGCATTTCCTGATAATAACAGTTTTCTTTATATAGCATTAAATATGGTAATCACATTGAAAACACTAATACAACAACAAATAGCAAACCATTGAATTACAAGACTAAAAAATCAGAGATAAAACTATCAGTTACGTTCATTCACTTTGCAATATAAAATACACCTTTCACATTCCTTATATGGCTATTTCAACAATGACTATTGCACTTCAAAATCCATGGTAACGCATATTATAATCATAGTATCCATGACAATAAGAATAATAAAAGCATAACACTGAACGGCGATAAACGAGACAAATGATACTAATAAGTGTTTTATCTCAAGACACAAAATAGGCCTTCTTGAGCCAACCTTAATTGTCTATGACAATATCAAATGAATGTTGTTTTTGAGGCCATGTTTGAGGGGGCCTGGGAAGAAGAGAATGGGGAAAGGGCTAAGATAATCAGGGGGAGGGGAAGGGGAAGAAAAGAGCAGTCTACATCTATTTTTGGAAAATTAAACTGTAGTACTCATCTCCCTCTAATTAAAGACCCCGCCTATTAAAGACCACCTCATATTATAGACCACTTTTTTGCGGTCCCAAATTAACGAATGTCTTATCTCGACGGGGGATGTAGTCCCCATGTGGCGGCACCACTGAACGGTTGTGGTCTGAACTCTCAGCCTTGAGGCCGGAGGTTCAAAGCGCTCATTGTTCAAGTTGCTTGTGTACTTAGGCACTTTAACAATGTTGTCACCACTCATGAGTACAAGTGGGTGCCAAGGAGGTTCAAGTACAAATGCACTAATTAATTCATGCAGCAAGTTATGGAATATTATTCCAGAGAGCTGAGTATGAGGTTCCAATAGCATAATTCCAATGATTGGGGTAATAATGTGAAACGTTATGATACTTAATAGCATAACGTTTCACATTATGCCATTAAGTATCATAACGTTTCACATTATTATACTTAATAGCATAGAGCGCTATATATACATATTATTTTATCATTATTGTTAAACAAGATTTATTTTCATCAACTTTCTGAACATGTGATCATTAAAGAAGATTAAATGAGTGAATTTATAGCTATGCCCTTGAGAGAAGATTCCAGCCAATCTGTGGGCTATTGTCCCCTCTGAAGATAAACAAAAAATCCTAACCACAGCTTACATAATAATACCAGTATTAATAATATCTCATTAGCAATGTTACATCATGGAAGTTACATTATACAATAGTCATTATAATATATTGCATAAATAAATTTCTAATTAGCTGACAGCTGTTGGGACCATTTATACAAGGATTCTCATTATGAACAAACAATAATACCTGCAAATCTAAATTTAGGTCTTTATGAAAAATTTGGTGACCTTTTCATTCTCTTTGTTGCAATGTAAAGGTAGTAAATATATTAATATATTTATCAAGACATTATTCCGAGTGGCATTGTTACGAATTCACACTATCAATTTTTGTATGTTCATCCATTTTTTAATGTTGGAATGTAAAAATCCTGAATTGTTTATTACATGATTGACTGAGAGGCAATGCACAGCTTCACAATCACACACATGTCACACACACACTGTAAGCACAATTATGATGTGAACTTCAACAAGAATACAACTTTTATAATTTAAACTTTCAATCTTGTACAAAGGTACAGGTCTCTCTCTAATTAAAGACCACCTCCAATTAAAGACCAAACTAACAAATGTCTTTTATCTTCAATATTCTAACTAGAGACCAAAACTACTAAAGACCATAAAAACTCTGGTCCCAAAAATGGTCTTTAATTGGAGGGAGGCCTGTACAGTAATAAAGTATAACACATTTTAGAAATATTTAATGTTTTCCTTATAAACTTGAAACACCATGCAAAATCATGAGAAATAATGGAAAAACAATATTAGGAAATTAATGGCTGGGTGTTTCAGTTCAGCTAGTGGAACCCAGCATGGTATGTCATAGGTTTTCAGTTCAAATACTGATGAATGTCTATATAATATTCCCATTTTAATCATTACTATAAATATTGAAGATTTGGTTACCTTTGGCTAATCTAATAACACCCTGTATATAAAACAATTCTAACAATTATTGAATTATCTTTTAAATAATATTACTGGAATACATATAGTGTAAATTAAAGCTATCTAATGAAATAGGCAGCCAAAGAATGGAAATATTTATTTGGTATTCAAAATATAAATATCTGATCATCTACATATGATTATCCTTTAAAATAAACATAGCATTATAAATGTTCATACTACAGATAGTATTGCAAAAATTACATTCACATATTAAAATAATATCTCAACCACTTAGCTAATAATAAAACATGAATACAAAATTACCATTGCTAAATATACAACTTCATATATAATTACATAACAATTAATATAAGTAGTCACCAACATATTCTTTGTTAGTACTTACAGTAGGTGTCAGCTGACCATTAAAAACAGAGTGACATAAAGGGAATTTCCCTATAATGAAATACAGTAATTAAGAAGAAAGAATCAAAGAGTACTCCTCTTATAGCTGCAGTGTAAACTAATAATTGCAATATAAATTTAAGTAGTTACCAAAGTATATTTCGTGTATATTTAGGTGTCTGCTGACCAGTAAAAGAAAACGGTGATGTGAAGAGAATGTCCCTTTAATGAAATTATATTATTAAAGCTTTTGAGAATAAAAGGAGCACTCCTTACTGTAATGTAAACAAAATAATTGCAATAGAACCAATATACAGTTCATGTGTATCTTGGTGTCAGCTGTCCAGTAAAAGAAAATAGTGATGGAAAGGGAATTTCACTGTAATGAAATGAAATTAATAAAGTAATTAAGAATTAAAGGAGTAATCCTTACTGTGGTATACATAAAATAATTGCAATATAAATTAAATAGTTACCAATTTATATCTTGGTGTCAGCTGACCATTAAAAAGAAACAGTGAAGGAAATTTCCCTTTTAAATGAAATAAAATTAAGAAAGCTATTAAGAGTACTCTGTAATACAGTGTAAACTACAAATTGCAATATAAATTAAGTAGTTACCAATATAGTTAAAATCAGTTGGAAAAGTTTAAAATATATAAAATAATCATGAGAAAATATAATATAAATACAATAAATGATATTTACAACATGTATACTTAGTTTTTACACAGAAAAAAAATCATATTTTTGTAGCATTTTTTAATTTAATTATTTTTGTAATCTAGACAATCTATTACCAGTATATAATGAGCACCATTGTTTTTGTTTTCCTTCCCTTACATGATATTGATGATTTAGGACAAAATTTTGAATTGATTTTAGAAAAAAATAGTCTAATATCCAATTCATGAGATAAAATATTCCAATGGGACGGACGCAAGTGAATACATGCTTGTACAGTACAATTTATATGTAGGCAGTAAAAAGAGCTTATGTGACCAAATGAATATAAGCTGCACCCTTTGAGCATAAGCAAAGATCCTTGCTAAATATTGGTCATGAGTGTTACATACCTCAGTCTGTTTTCCTTACATAAATATTACAAGGGATGCATGCTAACTTCATACAAATAGACATTCACATGAACCCAAATTTAAGAGTAGACGCAAGCTAAGATTTCCCTAACAAGGGATGTGTGTAGCATTTTTTCTTGTGTGATTTATGTACAAGACTGCGCAGACTTACTTTGCTGGTTTGTCTAATTGGGGGAAATATACCCTTTCCCTTACACTGCTTAAACTCACTGTTATAATTTTAGTTAATATTTTAAATAATAGACCTTTCCGCTAAGCTCCGCCCCTTGGATTTTGTTGCTAAGGTCCCAAAAGACGGCAGTGTTAAAACATACGCGAACACATGCATTTGTGGGACAACACGTGTGTTTGTGAGACGCGCGCGTATTTCTAGCGTTGTTCCGATTAATCAGTTGTTAAGTTTGATTGACACTCCGGAAAGGGCTATTATCTAGGAGTTGATGTAATGAATTGTATATGTTTACTTGTGTGTTTGTGCTGTTTGATGAAATACCAATAAATAAAATAAAATATCTAAAATATACAGTATCTAAAATACTTGCAAAAGTTTCTTTTGCAATTAATATTACACAAATATTGTAAGATGATAATGTACAGTGATAAATCATCTGCCCCTCAACATCACGTACCAGATTTAGAAAATGATGAATCATCACTCACTCTGCCAATAACAATAAAGAAAGAGATAACAGTTCTTGTCCTACGAAGTGTAGACACGAATGATCTCCAAAATGGATTTACGACACACAGGGCAGTAGTCTTTACGGTTGAATAGCATTTTAGCACATTCGTTGCACGTAACCATGTGATGACACGGACAGAGTAAACAGTTGCGAAGCCGATCCATACAGATTGCACAATCACGGTCATTTGTGGGAGAAGCTAACAAAGAGATGACGAATAAACTTGTGTTATAATGAATGAACATGTTAGGTTAACCTCCGAACAAAAACAAAACTCAAATATAAACATTTATATAAAGTGCTTCAAAATAACATGCATTAAATTTATGATTTCTTAAAAAAATGTTTATACAATTAAACTTGCTTAAGTCGACTTTACCTAACTCAAATAATTTTTAAGTCAGTCTTATTTTACATGCCAAGTCGTTGTGTTTTCCATTAATTAACAATCTGAGAATCAAATTTAATAAAAGTCGAACAATTTTTCACTGCCATTTTGGATTCGACTTAGTCAAGTTCAACTGTATACTGTAAAAATATATTAAAAATTTCAAAACTGTTATTAAAAAAAAAAAAAATTTGAAATTTCTAAACATGCAAAACTTTTAAAAATACAAATCTAATGTTGAGGACAGTACAAAGATTAAACTGATACAATTAAACTTATTATCAATCAATCAATCAATCTTTATTTTCCATCATGAATAAAAACAACAAAAAATGTAGATGGAGGAAATACAACAAAGGAAAGGCCTGACAATGTGTTGTATTACCTTAACATAAAGACAATCATATGCAATATAGAAGAAAATTAAAAAATACTAAGTACACATTAATCAAAACATGATAAAAAATAAAAACACATATTGTATCTTAAATGAAAAAATATATTGTTGATTAAAGTGATATTAGTACAAATAATTACATAGTAGAAAACAGGAATAACAAACATTGAACAAATTTAATTTGTTTATAAAATACTGGTTTATACTACTACTTGGATTATCTAAAATATACTTTAAAAATTATAAATTTTTATAACATTTCGGTGGTAAAGAGTATTAGGCGTTCGAAGTGGAGCTATTTCAAATCCTCTTGGATTTAAACCCATGACCCTGGAGGAAATATCATAACCACTGATCTTTATTCCATGCTTTGGGCAAACAGTATAGGGCAAAACGAACATCGGTCTTCATTTTAAGTTTATATTTATAAGGGGTTAATGACTACAGAATGCAAGATGTTGGAATGAAATACATTTATAACCACATAGATGTGTATACTTCTCACAATAGAAAAACACCATTAACAATTAAAGACGTGTTAATAAACAGAGTTCAATTTGTAATTTTCAAGTCTAATATTATGATAGCAACAGCATTAAATCTAACACTATAGCGAGAAATCCCATTGGTGCTCACATAACAAGTGCGGTTTATTTGTCTGGTTTTGCAAATATCACTTTGCTCAAAGTAAGTTACACATATGATGTGTCAAAACAATGTCATGACACGTAACATAAAAAGAAGTCACAGAAGTCAATTGTTATATGGGCCTTTAAAGCAACAGACCTTAGAGAAAATAAATTTTCAACTAAGTATCATTCTAACAACTGAGTTACAAAAAAGAGTTCATTTGGGGAGTATTAAGTTATCACATTAATCTGTCAGCTTTAAAGTGCATCACAACATGTTTGTACAAATTATTCAGTATTATTAAAATTTGAGCCACCAAAAATTAAATGGTGGTATTTTGGATTATGTAATATCTATTTTAAGAATTTCAGGAAATTGAAGAAAATAAAGATTGTCCTTATTAATGGGGCAAAAACACAATAAAATGGTGCTCATACTTTTTTTAACAGTTTAACTGCAGCTCTTCACTTCTATGTTGTTTTTTAATGTTTGTATTGTTAAAAGGAGTAGAATAAATAAGAAGACTTATTTCCAGTGAGGTCCTTCTGGTGGTGATTAGGTAGTACACCGGGAGACAATCCCCTACTCTATTCCAAAGAGTGTACTGCATTCTTTAATGTGCACATGGCCCATAAGTGTACACGGGACCAACAGCTTAAACGTCTCATCCGAAAGACGGTGTGCTATTGTAACTTGTATTTCAGCCCTCCAACTGAAACACAAGGAGAGGCAGCGATGGGAATTAAACCGGGGACCTAGAGATGTCCAAGTTTCAGCGCACACACAATGGCTACCACCAGATTAGCCGGCTGAGCTAAGCTGCTCTTTCACAGGAATTGAACCCAGGACCATGGGATTAGAAGGCAAGCACCTTAACCACTAAGCTATTCAACTCCACTAATTTATAAGCATTATTATTATTTATATACTAGAGTACCAGATCTTGTGATCGATTTCTGCGCACTTCGATTAAAATACTTTGGTTGCATTAACACAATACATCTTAACTGCTAGTTACCTGACACGCACACCTGATAACAAGGAACCCCAACTAGGGACTGACAAAGGTGTGATGCTATGCATTTACACCTGGTTGTGAACAAGACATCATTGTGTTACCAAAATTTAACACCTTTTTGGTTATGGATAATCTTTATAAATTTCATCCTAAGAATTGTATCATGTGAATCGTCTCACACTCAGATTGGAGAAAATTCACACCAAACCAACTTCATGCATGAAAAAACTCATTGGTTATGTAAACACAGGATGAAATAAATATAGAACACACTACTGAAGGATTTTATTGTACTCTTATTGCTTTTTCTCAAAATAATCCTCTTCAAATTTATAATTCTCTTTTACCTAATCTCTTTTGCATAAAATGATAAACCTCATAATCCTCTTTCACTTAAGCTCTTTTCATGGAGTGATAAAATTTTACAAACAATTAGTGAAAAATTTTTTTTCAAATATTTTAGTAAGGACTATTAAAGTTCAGTACTCTATATTTATTATGTTTTGCAAGTGTTTGGGAAAGTACTAAGCATTCCGTACGATGACACGTCAGGTACGGCAGAACAATTTTACAAACAACTAGTGAACAACTTTATTCAAATATTTTAGTAAGGATTTTTAGAGTCCAGTACTTTGATACTCACCACAATATACTAAGAATACTTACTTTTGGTATACTTTTGGTGTTAGGCTTTAAGCTATTGCTTATATGCCCCTCTCTGGACACCCTGCCATGCTCTCATCAATACATATTTATTATATTTTGCAAGTATTTGGGAGCATACTGAGTAATCGCTGTCAGGTAGGGCAAAACATCTTTCTTATGTCAAGTGCTGTCAGGCTTCTGAATGTTTCTCGGAGCTCCTAATACTGCCCTCGAAGACATATTTTGAAAACAAAATACAACAAAAACTCACCAAATTCATCATCTTGATTTGGAACCATGTTGCCGTCGTGGCCTAACTGCGGCAAGGCTACTGTCAGAAGTCCTGGCAAACCTTGTTGCCTGCGAATTTGTTCTCTACGTGCTGAAATAATAAAATATCATCATCACGATAGTTCAATGAATCAGAGTAAAAAAATTGAAAAAGAAGACTGTAATAATAATAATAAGACCTCATTTATAATTTGTTTATAATGAATATTCCTATATCTAAATGTATTCATTATCAAAATTATCATAATTATCATTATTATCAATATTATCAAATCATAATAATAATTACAATATATTTATCATCACTACAATCATATTTAAATCATCATCACATACAATTAATTTTATTATATTATCAGTATCATTAAAATCAATGATATAATCATTGATAATAGCACTCTAATAGGGAATTTATACAAAATTCTATGTGAAAGCATGTACAATGATTTGTATTTTACACTATAGATGGCAGCAGACTACAAAATTTACTCTTTGAAAACTTTGAGAAAAAAAGGAGACAAACCTATTTTGCGAGATTCAATTTGTTGAGGTGTAAGTATCAGTGGTTCTTTACCGGAACGAAAAAACAATGTTTTACCCATCTTCTCAAGGAATAATTTCACTAAAAAGAATATGTAATATCAGTTATTTATTATTTCAAGGGTGAAAAATGTGTCCCTTAAGCTACGGACTCACTACGTACGACGGTAGTCGTCCGACACGATTCTACGGAGAACACAACGTCACAAGACGGGCGCAAAAGATCATTTTTAATGATGATCTCTTCAGACTACCACTGATAATGAGCAGACGGCGTTACGTTGTCTAACGCTCGCAGGGAGTGGAGATGGATTTGTCAGTACTTAGTAAGTGCCTGGCTTTAAAGAAGGGCATATGGTATACAGGCTTACAGCACAAATATCAAGCAATAAATAACAAACAACAGTAATTATTATTATTTCAAAACAGTGATTATAGTAATAATTAAAATTTCAAAATGAAAATAACAATAATAAATAAAAATAGAAATAATTCTTTATTACTGTATATTCAAGATTCAATAACACAGAACAATTGTATTTCCTTTGTTTTTACTAGATGTATATATTTGTGTTTTTTATTAACAAATCCAAATAGTACTATCACCAATAAAATTATTGCTTCTCCACTCCCTAATGTGACTTTTAAAAAGCATCACAATACTTCTTATATTTGAGGCCTCTGAATTTTGTCAGCTACATTTTATAAGGAGCGCTCTGGCGCAGCAGTTGTGGTTCTGTTCCTCAACCTTGAGGTCGGATGTTCAATCCCTTGCTATGCATTTTGCTTCTGTCCTTATCCAAGGCACTTTACCTATGGTTGTCTCTCCACACAGGAGTACATGTGGGTACCTGGTAGGTTCAAGCACAAAATGCGCTGATTACAGCTGCAACATTATGGAATTCTCCCCAGGGTGCTGAGTATGTGTTCCATATGTACTTGATCCAATTACCAGGGGTAATAATGTTAAGCACATACAGGTCTCTACAATATGCGCTCTCTATAAGTCGACCATTATTATTATTATTATATAATATTGTCTTAAAAACCTACCCTATGTGGTTTTTTAAAGAAGTATGTAAGAAGTGCATTTCTTGCATAGAACTTAGCATCATGAGATATTTTTTCATTACTGTTTTAAAAAAATAATTTTTTTCCAAACAATTCTATGCTTACCTTTTTCTAGCACCTCTGTGGACGTCATCCTAGTCATTGTGATCTCCACTTCGGGAATTGCATATACTGGATGCAAAAAACGCAAACCTAATGTTCTCTTTAAAAATAAAAATTGTGAAAAATTATTTGTTTAAACTCAATTTACCATCTAATTCAACACCATCTATTTTTGTTGTAAAATAACTAATGACAATTATTTTATTTACAATTATTTTATTTAATTAGAATATGTTAGCTTCATGATATTCTCTTAGTATATGCGGTATATTTTTGCAAGATTTTGAACCAGAACACCTTTCTCTGCATCTTTCCTTAGAATAAATTTCTCACATTAGTCTAATATTTGACTTCATTAATTTTTTTTAAACATGGTAATTGTTAATTAAACATTTATAATTGAAAATAAATTGCTTTCTATGTGTCTTTCCTGGATGACTAACTGCTCCCATTTCTTTCTGTTGGCTGAATTAGATCTGTTTAAATTCAGTGGTAATTTAAAAACATTTCTGATTTGATATGATTTGCTTTATTATGATACCATGCATGAAACATATTAAAACAATTTGAGAAAGACATGTGGTATCAGGGACAACCCTCTAAATCTTCACAAGTGGGTTTACATCCTGAGTGATCCCTTTGCACATTTGACTATTACTAAAATTGTTGCAATAAAAATACTATCATTATAGCCTGCAAGAATGTAACATGTAATATTTTATATACAGGTCTACCTCCAAATTAAGACCACGTTTGGGACCAGGGTTTCCATGGTCTTTAGCAGCTGAGCTTTGGTCTCTAATTAGAATAATAAAGATAAAAGACATTTTTTAATTTGGGACAAGAGAAAAGTGCTCTTTAATTGGAGGGTCTTTAATATTAACATGTGTAATCAATCCAGCATGTGTGGCACGTGAAGCAAGGGATCCATTGCACTTTATATTGTACTGTATGTCTATGAGGTTTGGGCATCGGAGTTATTATTTTCCAGGATTGAGTGAAGGGCTTTGGGATTGGAATGCAAGCCTTTAACCATCAAGTCAGAGATTCACCTAATTACCTCTTTGTATGCAACCCTTTCGACAATTTCATTGACATCTAAATAGAGTGTGTTTGTAACAATGATTGTTGATGAGCTGCACAGATGGGACGTTCCTGAAACAAAAGAAATTAATATAGTTAAACAATATAAAAATACAACTTAAAATGTTGCTGTTTAAGCATCATTGAACAATGTGATTGAGAGTGTCTGAAACAAAAGCAGGTCACACACTCAGACTGTGATGACTAAAAAGATTAACAAATGGCTCTCAGGGTGTGTGATATTCATAGAGAAAGGCGTTATATTACGGCAATATTACCGTAATAATAGATGAGTATGAATAGTCCATGTTGGTCAGTGTACTACTGCAATATTGCCAAAACCTCTGTCTGAAAATGGCTTTAGAAAGACTGTGCAGGGGTCCCAGATTGGAAGAACCTGTTTCCGGAAGACCTGGTTTAACAAGCTTTCTTAAAGGCATGTAATATTCAAATAGTTTCATCTGGTTTGCTTAATATTATTGTAGAACTGTTTCGATTGTTAATAAACCAAACACAATGGATGTTAACTTACGATGAAAGCTTGCAGTAAGTTAACATCTATTGTGTTTGGTCTATTAACCATCAAAACAATTCTACAATTAATTTAATAACTTGAAATCAACACACTTTCTAATAAATCCTTCTTGACTTCCATATTGTCAATAACTGCTTCAAAAATGAACTCTGCATCTTGGACAGCTTCTTCTAAACGTCCCATACACAGCACCTGTCCCTAAAGAAAATATAAATGGAAGATTTTTTTATATACATTCTTTAAATTTACTCTGCACAAAATCAACTGTAGTGTGTGTCGGAGACAAACAATAATGAAACTGAGTTCGCAACGATAGTTTGGAAGAAAAGTAAGCTATATTTTATTTCAACAAAATCCAATTACAACTATTAAAAATTATGAGCATTATAATAGTACCAAATATTTTTTATATTAAAGAAAGGGTAACGTATATCAGAACAAGATTATTGGGTTGCTTGTATTTTTGTAGGAGGCCATACAGATTTTCTTTAGTTTGCGGGACTTGGGACCCCTGAATATTAGACTTACATGGCAACAAATTATGCAAGTAGTAAGCCTGTCTACAATTTCTTTTTGATCAAATATAAGACTTATTTAATTTGAACATTAAGAACTGCATGTCCCTCTAATTAAAGACCACCCCAAGCTAACAAATGTCTTTTATCTTTATTATTCTAATTAAACACCAAAGCTGCTTAAAACCATAAAAACCTGGGTAACAAAAGTATCTTTAATTGGAATGGACCTGTATATTTATTGTAAGTTAAAGTGCAAGACCATTAGGGAAAACTGATGAATAAAGAGCAGGCCTAAACAATATATGTTAATGGAGTAAGAAAAGTATTTGTCAAATTGTCATACTGGAGGAGGAACCATTTAGGCTGAATGACATACATAGCAGGTGTGTATGCAATGAAGGAACTTTAGGCATAGTGTGAGAATATCAGCAACTATTTCTTAAGTCTTGAAAATACAGGTATCCCTCTAATTAAAGACCACTTTTGGGATCAAGGTTCCCATGGTCTTCAGCAGCTTTGGTCTCTAATTAATATAATACATTTTATTTGGGACCACACACAGAAAAGAAAACTTTAATTTGAGGTGGTCTTATATTGGATTGGATTTATTTGGTGTAAACACCAAGGATAGCCCACGAAAGTCTCCAAGACTTATTTCCAATGGGGTACTTCTGGTGGTGATTGGGCAGTACACCGGGAGACAATCACCTACTCTTTTACGAACAGTGTACTGTTGCGTTCTTTAACGTGCACATGGGCCATAAATGCACACAGGACCAACGGCTTAAACGTCTCATCCGAAAGAGGGCGCGCTATTGTAACTTGTATTTCAGCCCTCCAGCTGAAACACAATGAGACGCAGTGATGGGAATTGAACCAGGGACCTAGAGATCTCCACGGTTCAGCGCACACACAGTGGCTACCACCAGATTACTGTAGCTGACTGAGCTAAGCTGCTCTCTGATATCGGAGGAGTCTTTAATTAGAGGGAGACCTGCAATAATGATATTTATGTTAATTTCGATAAAATAATATGCATACTAGGAACTGCCTCTGAACCATCAATTCATCTTTCTTGAGATCTTCCTTGTCACTTTCAAGATTTGTATAAAGAGCATCCAAGGCCCTCGCATCATTGTCATAAATCTTCACCAAGTGCCCATGGTATGCTAGGCAACCTGAAATTATACAAATTTAATAAATTAAAAGCGAATGTATTTAATGATACAGTACCAGGTATGTAAAAAATTACATTTTTGAAAGAGTGATCCTTAATTTCAAAAGGTGTAGACATATTATTTCTCGGCTTAAATTTTTGTATGGGGGATAGGGCTAGCCTACCTTATTTACTTTTCACTGTCAGTCTGGTCCCCGGTGGCTATACGTTGAAGTAGGATGCCAACCAAGGATCTTATAACAAGATAGCATTCTCTGCGTTTTGCGTGTAACAAATAGAAGCGTCCAATTCACGCAGATAACAATAGAAAGTAATTGTAATTGAGAGAGGGCGTCCTAGTTGTTACTATGGCGGTTGTTCCATAATTTGCATGGAAATCATAGATGTCAAATTTCAAAAGACAAAGTAATTGTAATTGCAAGAGGGCATCCTACGCGTTATTACAGAATTTGATTGTATGGAACGCTAATTTGGTATCAAAATGAAGATAAACTTATTATTACTATATTATTTTTACTGTTATTGCAGGCCTACATGTATATATATATATATATATATATATACATATATATATGTAAAATATATATGCATCATATAAAATAAAAAGGGCCTAGGCCTAGGCCTAGCTAGGGCTAGGCTAGCTCAATGAACTTGTAACATATTTTTATATATTAAATTTAAAGTACTCACCAGCTATTTTGGTGCCTAGAATTCCACAACCCAGAACAGCTACTTTAACCATTACCTGCTTGATCAATTAGTCTTGGAAATTTTAATATAATGTCAGGAATAGAATATGCTTTTAAAATACACCATTTAGCCTACACTAGGCCTACTCCTTGTCACCTTCTTCCATCTTTTGATGCAATGTGATGACAACACCTTTGACCCTTTAAGTAATGACGTCATGAAGATATTCACACGTTGAACATGCATTCATTTAATGTGTGTTATCATCAATTTCAACGTATAAATAGCAACACTTGTAAGAAATATTGCAATACATAAACAAGTAAACATTGGAAAAGTTGTTGTCACATCTGAAATACAATGACTGCATTAGGTACAGAAAAAGCCAGCGATCGCTGGAATATTTTGCGTCAGGTTAGTGCATTGAGTATTTGTCCTAAGTAGGGCCTAGATTGAACTCATTTTCTTCATCAAGTTGCTTAATTTTGGTAGTAGAGCTTAAGCCTAGGCCTTATTATTTATTTGTAGATTTGTACTGTAGGAAGCTTGGGCTACTGCAGTGTGGTGCCAGTTGAGTTAATATGATGAATTGGGCTAGGCTCTAGGCCTAGGTCTAGTACCAAACAAGAAACCTTCGCCTTTAAATCTAAATGAGTAAAAGATGTACTGTACTAATTTTAAAAGTTTATTTTCTCATTTTTAAGTAACATCAAAATTAAGATATATAAAGGAAGTATGAATTTGAAAAATGTCGAGAGTTTTTTGTCAAAACAAAAATTGGTTATTTTTCAGACATGCTATGCTATCAGCACTTTTGTGTAAAATTGTTAGGACACAATTAACAACAGCTTTGTTATTAATATTATTCCAGTAAGTTAGGGTTCACCCAGTTCCACCAATCAGCACCTATGTCCTGGGCTAACATTTAAAAACAAGGAAGAAGTAAGGTTTAATAAAATATTGTAGTTGTATTAATTAGTATGATGTTTTTACTTCAATTTTACTAGGCGATTATCAAGAAATCTAGAGGTGGAGGACAGTCCAAGAAGAAGTCATCAATGTTAGAATTTACATCTTTCGATTTACTTACAGTAAACAAAGTGATAGATGACGATGGTGGAGTCTGGCATCTGTACCAGTATCAACCAGTTGAACCATTCAGAGCAAGAGTAAAGTAAGTGATAGACAAATTTTATGTAGCTAGACAAACATTTCTAGATTTATTTATATGTTCATCAAATTGTAGTACCTGTTTTTACTAGTTTATGTACAAGTGGCGCAGGGGTACCGCTAATCACAGCTTTAATATTGGCACTGGTTTGAGCCGCTCCTCTTCCAGGGTTTTGGTTTGTAGAAACAAGTCTAAATGACCACCACTACCTTTGGCTTATGAGTAGATTAAGAATTAGCAAACAGATAGCAACTGCTCAAACAAAGAAAATATATAAACAGACACATAATATATAACGTCAGTTTTTGCGTATCGTATATTTTGCTGTCATCTCATCAAAAGCAGCTACAATAAGCAAGTAATACCGACTTCGAAATGGATTTTAATCTACTAAGTATTCAACAGACATGTATTGAAAACAATGAATTAATGTAAACAATGTATTAAACTGATTTCTGTACTTATTATTGGTGTAGGATCTAAATGCTGTGGTTTTCTATTTTGTTTTCCTCCCTATATAAGGCATATTCCAACAGTTTTCAACCCAGAAGAGCTCATGGGATTCAACAACACAGGCAATGTGTGTAAGTTATTATCATAATTGTATCTACATTCAATTCAAGACTACACATTATTTGTAGTATGTATGGTATTAAAAACTAATGAAGTTATATGACAATGCTATTGTTGTGAGACTTGCAATAATATTATTAATAGTAAATATTGAATTACACACAAATATTCTTGAAAGTTGTATTACAGTGTAGAATGTTTTTTTTTTAATATGGAATGTTATATTTACAGGTGTTTGGCCTGCAGAGGAGGTTCTAACTTACTGGTGCTTAGAAAACAGACATTTATTCAAGTAATATTTCCTTCCATTTTTATATTATATTAAGTTTATCATGCATGAAATAAAACTACAGTAGCCTCAAATATATTGTGTAACTCCACTATACAAATCTCATTATATATTCATTTTAATCATAATTCATTAAAATTGTTATATTACATAATTTAATTGAGTCAAATATTCAAAGAATATAAAGATATTCACTATAAAAACTCAAAACAAGCACATTATTGTATTACGCAAACATTAAAATTTACCATTAACATAATTTTTAACAACAATCACTAACTTTATTATAAAAAATGTGCTGTTGAATAATATATTTTAAATGATTTGTTGTTTAAGTTATTTGTTATTGCATGGACATAACTAAAAATACAATTAAGCTTAGTACAATATATTCACTTGTCTTGTATCAAAAATTTCAGACAACAGAAGATATGTGAGCTTGGTGGAGGAATGACATGTCTAGCTGGGCTAGCAGTGAGTGATATTGCATCTATGCATTTAAATAGGAATCAGTTACTTTATATGTTTATTATATGAGACTAATTACTCAGATTTTGATATAAAAAAATATGAATACATTGAGATTAAAATATTCATGATATAGAGCCTAAATTCCCGTTGATGATTATAATGAGTTATAATGGTAACTCTAAAAAATGAGTACCGTGATGGATAAATTAATTTTTCCCAATAAGGATAATAATAATCAATATTAATTTTGATGATATCATATGGTATTGCATTTCATTTAACATAAGAGAAACCCCTGAACAAACCCCTATATTTACTCTTTCTGATTTTTTTTTTATCTTCCCCCACAAAATTTTATATAATACAAATTGTTACTAATTACATAAATGACATTTGTGTTAACCACATAAGGACCATCATTTAAATAATAATGAGTTCTTAAAACCTGTCTGGCTTAAAGTTTCTTGGGCTATATTTGAAATGCCTGGCAGTTTAAAATTTTTTTAAGAAGTTTTGGTACCATTCTTTATATACTATTGTATTTTTATTATAGTTAATATTATTATATAATAATATAATATTATTAAAGTTATTCATAAAAAACATTTTTATATATATGTAAATTTTTTTTTTTTCTCTTTAAACAGGTAGCAACATGTTGTGCAGCAGAGGAGGTTTTATTAACAGATGGCAATGAATTGTCTATAAAAAGTATTCTTAATTTTAAATACCAATAAATAAATAATGCAATTAAAAAAATGTAGTGAAATATTAAATGTAGTCAAATCATTATTTTTTTAAGTTAAACAATAATTATTAATAATCAAAATTAATTATTGCCAGAGTTTATAATAAAAAAAGAAAGAATCAATAAAACTATCAGTAACTCTAATGATGCTTAAGTCATTCCTATTCTATATCAGATGTACAAGAAATTCTGAAAGAAAATGCAGAATATTTAAAAGCAAAAACTGTTACTGCAAGGTGAGTAAATAATTAATCTTTTGCCTACCTCTTTTTTTTTTTTTTTTTTTTTTTTTATTGTTTTTGTCATCATTGTTATTCAATTTAACCCTTTACAGTCTGCCCCATTACCATTTCCTGAGGCTGTACCAAAGCTGGGAAATTACATCATCTACACTAAATGTCGGGTTTCTTCTGGGCTCAGGCATTTTATTTGGTCTGAATACAGGAGGCCCTCTACAGAAATACTCCTACATCACACTTAAAAAATCCTATAGAGAGCAGCCTAGCTATAAAATAATTATCATGAAAGCTATAAAGGGCATACCTACGACGCCCCTCGCTATAAAGTATGGTCGAAGAGGGCGTCGACGCCATACAACCGGAAAGGGTTAATTTTTAGTGTGATAGATTAAGTTAAGAGCAGTTTAGCTAGTCTGCTAAACTGGGGCAGCCACATTTTGTGCGCTAAACAATGAAGGTCCTTTAAGAGCTTTGCTCCCTGGTTTAATCCAATCACTACTCTGTGTTTAAACTTTTAAGTGCTAAAGTTATGATAGCACACCATCTATTGGAAAAGACGTTTAAGCCATTGGTCCCATGTGTGATATGGCCCACATGCTTGTTAAAATCATGCAGTAAACTTTTCAGAAATTAGTAGGGGATTGTCTCCTGGTACTGCCCAAGTCACCACCAGAAGGACCCCACAGGAAACAAGTATTCGTACTTTAGTGGGTTATTGTTAGTGGGTGTCATACCTTTAACCTCTTCCCACTTGGTAAAATTAAGGATGTTATAGAGACTAGGTGCCAGTTAATCATATTTATCCTTGTGTACTTATCGCAATTAAATATTTGCTTTTAATAATAAAATTAATCAATGTTTATTATATTTTTTGCTTGCAGTGTCATACGATGGGATAAACAAGATGAATACACACATTTTAAGGAAACTTTTGATTATGTCATATCTGCTGATTGGTGAGTTAAGCAAAACAGCTTCAAAAGGTAACTAATTAATCTATATATGTGATTTTTCAAGAAATAATTAATTGGGACTCATCTTTGACTTTCAGTTTGTTCTTTGACCAATACAGAGAGGACTTACTCACTACAATCGGCACCATTCTCAAGCCAAAGGTCAGTGGTATTATCAAGGTCTGCCATGTAGGATGAATTGCCTTTCCCCAAGAATACAAAAACAAGTACTCACCTCAGATTCGAACCGCTGATCTTTCAATAAAAAATCAAATGCTTTACCACCGTGAAACTTCTATTTATGTATTTTTGTTAATTATTCTCATAATGTAATGAAGTTAGATTTGTTTATGTTTTTTTATCTGATGTTTTGTACTGTACAATTGTACCATTTCAGCCTTTGGCTGCCGTTTACAATTTTCGTGTCTTGGATGAGTAAATATACCTTGAATAATAATATATAGCGCTTTGTACTGAAATGGTCTCAAGGTGGGGACAAGCTCTGAGAGTAAGTTGCTTCTCCCCTAAGGGTTCCTTCATGTCTGATAACCCGGTAAACCAGTACCATCTACTGACTTGTCTGTCCACTACAGGGACTGAATAGAGGTAGTGGGCTTCTTTGCCAGCACTGATATTAAGGCTGTACGTTGCAGTGCCCCTGCCTTACATGTTTTCATTGCCTAACTTCATAAATATATCATTCATTCCCAGGGTGTCTGTATAATATTTGCACCAAGGAGACACAAGACTTGTGATAAATTCTGTGCAATGGCTAAAGAAAGATATCAAGTTACCCTTGAAGAAAAATATGACGCAGCAATATGGAATAAACATTTAGAGGTATGGTATATTGCGTCTATATATACAACCCTCCTAATTTATTGAAGTCACACTATTGTCGACCATCAGAACAGAACGATTTTACATGATACAGTACATCAATTAAATGAACAAAAAGAGCCTTTCTAGAACTGTTCTACAAAAGTGGACATGCTAGGGCATTTAACAACAACTAGAGACAATTTTTGGCTTGATAACTCTTGTTACTGTTAATATACAGTACAAATTCATATTAACTAACATTTATAATAATATTGTTATGAAATTACTAAATCATATTTTCAGTATTTATTCAAATAAAGAATAGTATAAAGGAAATAAAAATTACTCTATACATATTGATTTAATGTATTTCCATTACTTGTGAATTTAAATCTAATTTTTATTAGAGAATTAATTCCATAGGCAACAAAGATATACAGTATATATAAAAAAAAACTATGTCTAATATTATGCAATCTTTAACTATTTTTTTTTCTATTGTCTATTGCAGGCTATTGAAAAGTCCAGTGATATATATGATGAAAATAGGCATTATCCTTTGAAAATTACACTGATGAAATCTTGACAAACACAACAGACAGAACAACTGGGATGTATGTTGATGTACTCAAAATAGGAAGATCTACAGCAACTTATATCTTTATTTTTTGACTCTCATGTTTATGTTTACAAAGGTACAGTACATCCTGCAAAGGACCTCAGGATCCATAACTACAGGGTAACGGGTAGTATGGACCAGTACACCGAGGTACTGTAACCCCCCTAATCGTCCTGTGGTTCTGTAAAGTGCCTATGAGCCTATTATGTACACTGGACCTACGGCTTATAGTTCTTATCGAAGAAGACTTGTTCCACCACCATAACCATTTTAGGCGAGTGTGCCGCTTGAACCAGCGTTGTTAATAGGTAGCCTTCGATTTGCGTAATGACGCAACGCTGGATCAAATTCACTTATGTGTGACCGTCCTACGTTCTCTGCATACGTAAACTTGGCAAAATTGTGCCCTTGATTCAACATGACCACGAGAACTAAACGTAGATGACTTTATGTGATGTCATTACATTCTACATCCCACCGTCGTCATGCAATCAAAAGCTCCCTCTTATGGCTGTACGTTGCGGCACCCCTGCCTTAACCGCTCGGCCATCCATCTCATCCATCATCCATAAAAATGTGTTGTTCCTTGCTTTATTGTCTAATAGATTGATGCAGCTTAATTCAAATTAGATGGTACGTGGTAAAATTATAGTAGACCTAATAATTATTGATTTAACTTTTGTGGATCATTTAGATTTGCACAGTTGAAGCTTGTCAACTATTATGCAGCCCCTTCTGACCATAACCAAAACATCAATTCCCCTCCTATCAACGGGTTCCCCCTGACCCCCACAATTTCCCGTGGTTCCTGGACTACATTGGATTGCCTAGTTTCCCCTAAACATCTGCCTCTCAAAGGGAACACACTTCAAAACATCCTGGTTACAGGCCTGTTCTGTGGTATTATAACATTTCACCCTTGTTTAAGGTGTTGGCACATAGATCAATACTTATTGATTTGCCAATTCTCAGGTGGCAGTAATGTTAAATCTTGAATAATTAATCTCATCGTTTTGTTGTTTGTGTCACTGGACTCATTTAGAAATACTTGCCGATTTATATTAACCTTGGTCTCTTAACGATTTCTTGTTTGCCGACACGGCAATTGTCCTACACAAGCACCATGGTAAAGTTTATAATACTCTGTTATTAGAGATGTAATTAGTTGGCTCTCATATTCGTTATTTTTGTGGACTCCATAGAGTAATTAGCACTCGAAAACATGTTTAGTCAACAAGACAGACGGCAAATTATTAATTTCATTACCATGTATACTGTATTATGATAATATTTTTAATATGTGAGAAATAGTCGGGTTTGGCCCTGTATATTATTTTTTTGTTGCAATAATAATTTCATATTTGCTATAATTTTGTTATATATTATTTTATTCATAATAAATAATTATAATGTATGTGGCAACATAATATTGGGAAAAAAATAATTTGTAACTTTATAAACATAATACACCTTTACGCTAAGCTCCGCCCCTTGGATATTGTTGCGAAGGTCCCACAAGACGACAGTGTCAAAACATGATTACAACATACGCAAACACGTGCATTCGTGGGACAACGCGTGTTTGTAAGACGTTCGCGTATTGCTGGCCCTGTTCTGATTGGTCAGTTGTTAAGTTCGATTGACTAGTGCACTGTGAAGCTCTGTCCATACTATCAAATTGTATTTTGCAAATCTGTGTGATATGCCCATATATGGGCATGATGATGTCATTACAAACAAATTGGGCATATCACATTTGTTTGTTACATATAATTTGATAGTAGGACAGAACTTAATTAACAGTATACAATTACACTCAACTTAATTTTCAGCAATAAACTGTTCGTCTTTGTGACATTATTGGTATCAGCCTTCCCGACGCCAGATAAGGATGTACTCTTAATGATTGATGGAAAGTCTTCAAACACGCAATCAAGTAGTGAAAAATCTAAATGATTACTGGTGCGCACTAATATGACATTTATTAATGAAGGTTTAAATTATATGAAGGCCTGTCTTTGTTGTTAATATTCTATGGTGCTCTACTGTAATTAATTTTTTCAAGCTTGTGAGATTCGTAGATTGGATGATTTTAAAGTTTGACAACAAAGGAGCAAGTGTTTGATCACAAACAGAAAAAGAAAATGCCATTTAGCTAAAATAAATTGGATTATGACAGATTGAGATGGAACAGTTGTTTGTGTTAAATGCGTTTTACTTGTTTCACATAAGACATTTAAACAAATTGCAGTTAATATTTTTTTTATAGATTAATGTTGAATAAATTTATCTGCTTCCAAAATTAAGATACACAAAAGAATATTAATTTATTTAATGTATTTAAATATTTTTAAAGTTAGCCGATTCCTTCTGCAGCAGTGAAGTGTCACCAAATTAAAACATTCCATGATCCACAACACTGAAATATAATAATAATAATAATAATAATAATAATAATAATAATAATAATACATTTAGTTAGATATAATTCAACTCGGTAAAAACATTTTTACGATAAAAAATATTATTTATTATCTCTTTTATAATGACTCATAGTCACGTGTTAATTGTTTATCTTTTATTCTTAATTGCATATGAAATATTTTAAAATAACTAAATGTAGCTGGCTATATATCTCGAATTTGCTTATCTTTAAATTTAAGGTTGAAGCGCGACTTGATTAAGCACGGAAATATTGAAACGAAAAGTCGTTACAGTATACTGGATAAAATACCCACTGACTTAAAATTAATAGGGGCCATCATGATTTGAGCAATATAAATTGACAACTTGATACCAGTTACATTTCGTTTACGTTAGTTCAATACTATTATTCGTTTCCAGAACATCCGTTTAATTTAGGCCAAATGAAATTAATTCCTAGTATCGGGTCCCCGTGCTTATCCAACTTTGGAGCCTCATGAAATTTACTATTTGGTATTAAAAAAAGAACAATCATTATTCCATTGAAAATAAAAATCATGACAATCTGAAAGAATATTGTCAAAGCCTAAGATGAGGAGGAAACAAGTTGCAGAATAGTATTACAAAGATTCATTTTACTTCTGTTTAAAATTATTTACCAGCCTGTTTACCACTAATGTATAGGATATTAACAGCACATTGTAAATACACTCAACAAAAATAATTTCAAATTTCGGACGTTAAACTATCAATCAATTTTATTTAGCCTGAATTGTCCTGTTTTTGGTGTTGACCTGTCACATCTTATCACCCTAAAGTACCAAGTTATAGATGCATTCTTTGACCCTTTCATACAAACAAACTCTTAATCGTAGATTAGGGTTTTAGACCACAATTATTATATTTAATCAGTGCATACAAATACTATACTGACCTTGGACTTGAACGCCTATCGTACGCTTTGACAAAACTATTAACAGATATCTTTCATTTCTTTTCTACTTTTTCAAAATTAGCGTGGTATTTCGACTTCCATACACCTTTAATTGTTTAACAATGATTCATACAAATAAATTCAATTACAGCTGTTTCACGTAAGAGCATGGAGGAATTCCTCTATGAAAGATACGGTATATGAGCGTGTATTTAAAGAGATCATTAAAAGGGTTATCTTCTTAAAACACAGACTGAAACTATTCAGTTTTTTGCTAGTTTATTAACAGTTAAATACTTAAATTGAAGACAATAGGAGGTATGTACAGGAATAGAATTGTGTCTATTGATTTATGGTTTTCGCAAAGTCCATAGGAAGCTAACGTAACTTACGAAAATATACAAAGTGAACATTTTAGATATTGAGTATAGATTATTAGCTCGGTTTATGGTGGCGCCAGGATTTGCCGGACGGAAAGCCGATGTCTCCGACGGGGAGGAGGAATATCTCTCTCCTGTGGGAGCACAAATGGGCGGGGACAGGTTCTGTCAAACCCTTCGGAGTGAATACTGGTACAAAGTCTGATTTTCTATCAAAATTACATAGTAATCCATGAGATTACTTTAAAGAAACATGTGAACAAATTATTTAATTCATTTGAAATTGTCGAACAATGAGAACTGCTCTAACTGCTGCTGTAAACTTTAGCAAAGGTTTTCGTTGTCGGGCCGTCGGTCTAATAATCAATGTCTTTGGAGCCCCTAACTTAAATGATTGTCGGTTCAGATTAGATTCCGTCCTTTGTAAGGTTAATCTTTCTGTTGTTTTCAGTACATTTATTTCAATCGGGATTTCATTTTCCTCAATGTTTTCTGGCACGCGAGCATCATTTATATTTATCTTCTTTAAATCTAGCTCCACACTGTTAATTTCTGTCACCGTAGGTGGGGTTCTGGTCCGGGTGGGTGCTTCATTATTTTTCGCGTCGTCTGTGGTATTTTTACACTCTGTTTCATCATCGGCATCGTGCAATTTTGTAACACTTTTGGCAGCAACAGCAGCTACATTATTGTTTGTTTCGCTTTTATTATCAACTTCACTCAATGTACCTAACGCTGGCAACCGTTTAAGATCCTCTTTCATTGTCATTTTCTTGCTTCCTTTTAGTTCTTCTAGTTTATTTTGTTCAAACTGGTCCTGAGACGCAAATCCAAGCCATGCATACATTTCATCTGGTTTCTTTGAGTCCAGGAGAGCCCTAGATCTCGAGACGACTGGCGCAAAATTACTCCTTAGAAACGGATTGTATTTAAGGAGTTCTTTTTGATATTTTGTTGGGACTAGCTGAGGAGGTAGTTTGATGTTGTTACGAGACCTTTTATTCACAAGGACATTGGATTGACGCCTAGGCGTTCTACCATGGCAGTCTGACTCTTTTGCACTCACTAGCAATGATTGGGTTATGATTGGTTTGCCGGCATCAGAATTTCCAATAATACTTCTATGTTTATTGAATCTCTGCAATGTGCTGTTGATCTCTCCACTAGCTATCAAATTGCTCAAAGATATTTTTCTCTGAAGCCGGAACACATTATTACTTTTATCCTTATTACTAATGTTGAGTGTTGGTTGTACCTCAGGTAATGTAAATGCGTTTGTTTTTGGAGCTTCACAAGATTCCTGATTTGTTTCCATTTGCGGGGTGTTACCTCTGCTTTTAGCCTCGTCGTACATGACTTTGAGTAACTTGTTTTTTTCTTCAATTTTACGTTTAATGTTAGCTGCTTCTATTTCTCCCATTGACTTCTTAAGTAAACTTAAATTATCAACATTCCTTCTCTTATGATACTTCCCCTTTTGAATAGCATTCACAGCATCAGTTCTAAAGAGTTCATCTTGTCCTTTTCGATTTGGTTGCTTTTTGTTTTTTCCCACATTTTCTCCTCCTAGTGTTTCTGCATTGTGGATTGTTCCTCTTCGCATTTTATTTGATTCCATCAAGTCTTGCAGACATTCCACCTTTCGACGCAACTCTTTTTCTTCTCTGCTGATGCTTGCTTCAGTAATCCGCCGAGCATAATCAAGATGTCGAGCCTCTCGCTCCGCATCTAGTTTCATAACCATGCCCTTCCCTCGATTAGGCATTACCAGACGACGGTTCATGTTTTGAACCATTGCTCGGTAGTCACCCTTCATTTTATGAGTTCTTTTCACGTTTAGCATAGAAACAGCTTTATTCATTTAGTCCAAACTGCACCATTTTGTAAGACGGGTTGAGAATCTAAAGTTAATAAAGAAGAACGATTTAATAAATAGGCCTACTCACATTGTGTTGCTAAGGTCATTGGCATATTAATATCGAGCTTAATTGCGTACACCTCATTTTTAAGTGGCAGTATTGTGATTAGGTCTAAGTATACATCTCCGCAATTACAACAAATTGTATTTGCTTTTCAAAAATGCAAGTATTATACATTAACGAATTGTATGATGATAAGATGAATTAATACATTAATAAACCAAATAATGTTCATATACAGTGCATCATCTAACACAATATGAAATGATTTTTTGTTTACAAGGGCAACCAAGGAGACTACTGAAGCCAATAGAGTATTAAAAACAACTGGTCATGCTTTCCTTCATGTTACAATGTTTATTAGGCCTATTATTAGTACCGTACTCTTCTAATACCGGTATTATTCTAAATTAGGCTTACTGCTTTAAGATTTCTTTGCATTTAGCGTTGTCTCAGAATAAAGAATTTGTGGTTTTACTTTGTCAGTATGATGTATATCATAATGAAAAATTTTCTAAATGAACCAAATAGATCTTAGGCCTATGTAAATTTCTACTGCTTAATTGTTGTTTACAATAACTATTTGTTACTTGACTGTTACAAAGAACTATAATGTGAGTGCTAATAGTAGCAGCACCAACAGTAGTTATAGTAGTAGTAGTGGTAGTGGTGGTGGTGGTGGTGGTGGTGGTGGAGTAGTGGTAGTAGTAGTAGTAGTAGTAGTAGTAGTAGTAGTAGTAGTAGTAGTAGTAGTAGTAGTGGTAGTAGTAGTAATAGTAGTACTAGTAGCAGTAGCACTAGCAGTAGTATCTTATAGTTGTTTCAATAGGTGTCATAATAATGTGAAATTTTGTGAAAATATAATTATGAAACAACATTGTAAATTTTTAGTTTACAAAGAAGAGTTACCACATACTTTGTAATTATTAGACTAAATATGGATAAATTCAGAAGAGATAGGCCTATTATCTATCTACAAAAACGTTCTGTTATAGCATAACTGTAGTAGTAGTAGTAGTAATAGTAATAGTAGTACTAGTAGCAGTAGCAGTAGCACTAGCAGTAGTATCTTATAGTTGTTTCAATAGTTGTCATAATAATGTGAAATTTTGTGAAAATATAATTATGAAACAACATTGTAAATTTTTAGTTTACAAAGAAGAGTTACCACATACTTTGTAATTATTAGACTAAATATGGATAAATTCAGAAGAGATAGGCCTATTATCTATCTACAAAAACGTTCTGTTATAGCATAACAACAATTAAATGCTCCGTTAAATTTCAATGTAATTTTAAATTATTGTTAGATAATTGAATGGAAAGTGTGTATACACGAATTATACATAGACTTACCTGGAACAATCCAGTAATTACGTTTTAAAGCTGTCTATAATATACCAACAAAAGCCAAATCGTCTGACATATGCAAGTAAACTCCAACCAGTTTGGTAAAGAAGGTGACTGATGTGGGAGTGTTATTCAGTTCTATTGATTCAGGTTGCCGTGTTAGCTGATAAACAATGAGGACATAGGCTCGTAGACATGTGATAGAAGAGGGATAATCCTCAAAGAGACAAATCTTAGCGGATTATAGAGTGACGTCAGATAATTCTGAAAACATTGGCGCTTTTGTATCAGTGGCACTCGCGGAGTTGCGATGCATTCAAAAGATAAGTTACATAATATACATACAGATATTCCATTAAAAACCAAATAAGATAAGTATACATTAATACAGTGAATATTTTTAATTTAATGGCATAGAACTGCAGAACGCTCTTTCTTTAAAATATGGGCCTTTTATAGGGCCTATAGTTCAGGTTTCTATTCACGTTACGTAGGTCTATGCAGTGTACTAACGCCAACATGCTGCCGAATGTCTGTAATTCGACGGCCACAACTAGAACTACCAGTACCAGTTATTAACAATTCAGGTATATTCTTGAAAATTACGTTGCAGTCGAAAAGTAGGGGTCCCAATCCAAATTAAAAATATGGGGGTGGGGGACGTGTCCCTCTGTCCTCCCATGATCTGCACATATCATATCCAGAATTTGTTTGCTCAAACAATTCATTCTGATGTACGGTAAGCTGATAGTGATTGTTGGAATTAAAAAAAGAAACACCATACATTATTTGCCCAATTTGGGAAGTATGAGAAAAAAAAGCGAGTAAAGATAGGCCCTAAGTTGGTTTTCGGCACATGAAGTAGGTAAATTAAAGTAAATACATCAGAGACATAAAGATTTTATTTTTTATGGTGCATCACGGAGATTAATTAGATTTCAATGATTGCCGAAAATTCCTAATAAAAGATCGCGAGGTAGTGTGGACTCATGGCTTTGAAGTAGGTGAAGTGAAGCAAATAAGCCTACATTAATAGTTTGTCCTCACATATTTTTATTTTCTATGGCACATCACACATAATAATTACATCTTTATGGGTGCCGAAAATCCTGGCTGTGGACCTTATGACCAAATTAAAAAAAAAAGAAATTTTTCCTATCTAAATAACGCTATTTTAATTGCCAATCCATAATATCGTGATTTAAAAGCACATTGAGGACCAAATTAAGCCATAAAAAGTTTCCCATAAACCCAAACAGAGATTTTTTTTTTATTCCGTGCCGTCGACCGAGGCTTCGTCGTCGCCTTGGTTCGGACCAAGTCCGTCGGATTTCTGGTGCCACCACTGATCTCAGCGCCAACCAGCAAATCCACCAAAGTTGACCGGCTGGACCCAGATTTATGTTGCAAACCACTACAAAGAACCTACCGCTATTACAAATAAAGAAATAATAGCGGCTGAATCCGCTACATTATTGTAGTGACGTACATTGAAAAGGCATTCATAAAGTAGGCTTATTAAAAAATATTTCAAATAACGCAACGATTCATAAAATCTCAGTACAATACCGTTAAACAAACTTTATTTGTGTAGGCGTATGAAGTATGTGTGTATATGTATTGATATACACTTATGGATTTTCATGATTATGCTCATGCGCATTATTTATGTGTATAGACATCATATATGTATACGGGCTAAAACATATACTATGTATAGGCCTACTATTCGTTTGATTTGAATTTTGTTTTAATTTTAATTTAATTTCCCTCTGTTTACGTTGCTTTTCATTGATTGTTCGTGACGCACCTTCCACCAGTGCCACTGATGAAAAGTAGATCCAAATAAATAATAATTATAATAATAATAATAATAATAATAAAATTAATAATAATAATAATTATTATTATTATTATTTATATTGTTATAATTATTATTATTATTATTATTAATATTATTATTATTATTATTACTATTATTATTATTATTCCATTATTTATTTGTATTATTTCTATTTATTACTGGTATCACTCGTATTACAGCATCAGCAATAATACACGATGTCATTTACTGATGTATTGATGATATTAATTTCTTCAGTACTGAATCTACCAAATATTACTGCACAGAAGATTTTAAATGTAATTATAACATGCCTACTTATGTACAGGAAACAATTCTTCTATTTTCAATTTAAATTTTTGCAGCATTGTAAACAAAATTGATGCCATTTCCAACTATATTTTCATACTAAATTTTAAATTTTCAGTCATTGCTCTTACAGAAACGTGGCTCAAAAATAATGACTTAGAATTATATAAAATTACCCAATAATATTCATTTATTCATAAATAGTTTGGAAAAAAAGAGGTGGAGTTGTTGCATTTTATATATCTGAAAACCTATGTTACAAATCACGTGATGATCTATCGGCAAAAATTACGAGTGCTGAATCACTTTTTATTAAGATTAATATTAAAAATAATAGATCAGTCATAATATGTGGGATTATTTACAGATTTTATTTCATTTAATTTTGTTAGCTAAAATACCCAAAGGACAAAAAGCTTAGCTCTATTGTGACCGTTTTTTGTGAGACTCATCCAAAACCTACACACAGTTTAACCATTGTACAAAAACAGACCCTGTGTAGGATCTAAATCATAGTTCGAACTGAACTTTATAATGATTTAGGTCCGTATTTATTTGAACTATTGTTCATGCAAGGACGATTGGTGGAATCGGGACGCATAAAGAAGCACAAGACTTAACTTACATGCCAATAGAAAGAATTGGCCACTAACTTCACCATTTAACGTTTACAATACAATTGGTTCAGCTTAAATTGTAGCGATAATGAAGGTTGTACTGCCCACTGCGCAAATGAATCAACGATTTAGAATCAAATTTCGAAATTTTGAATCACAAATTGAAATTGGGATTATAGAGGTTTAAAATAAATTTAATTTATACCTCCATGCTGGGATACTGTATAGCCCTTTTTCGCGCGCCCTTAATATTCGCGATGAAACGACGATCGAAAAAATAAGGGCGCGCGAAAATCGCGAAATTCTGAATGATACTTGTGTCTTCAAAAGCAATGCCAGCCCAGGCCATACCCAACCATAGCTAATATAAAACTGATATTCCCTCAATAAAGATTTCATTCTTCCTTCTTTGTGCAGTATTTTTCAATCATTCAGTCACATTTTAAAAGTTAAATGCAGTATTATAAATGATTATATAATGCCATATTCCGGTTCTGAAAATAAGCTGTCTAGGCCAGTACAGTGTACATCATAGGCCTACTTCATACAGCCAGAGTAGAGTAATGGTAGCATTGTATTTCTTCTACAATGCGGATATTTCCCATTAATTAACCAAGTCTGTAATTTCACTGTTCCCTGGTCTGTCCACCCAGGGCTTAAAATTGGTTTAGTTTGTATTCATATTAATTAGCATTGCAGTATTACGGTCCCTTGTGGAAAGCTTCAGTGCTTGAGGTGTTTGGAGTTTTACATTGTTAAAAATGTCAATCAATAATTTAAAATAATTTTACTTGTATAAGTGTTTACACTATTAATTGTTTATAGAAATGCGAATGTAACATAAGTGTTATAGGCTTGCATGGATCTAGACCTCATGACTTCAAATGGGACAATACAACTTCGTATAAAATATTAACGACTAATATGAACAAGTTTTGCTACTGCATGACGAAATTCACAGTCTCTTCTGGCGTAGATCAATGGATTAGCCACGGCATTTATCATCGCAGTTAGTACAATAACCATTCCATACACCTCCAAGAAACCATGGATGATAGGAAATGGGAAAACAATTCCAATGCTGATGATTATGGATGGGAATATACAAATCAAATACACCCACAAAATGCGAGCGGTTGTCCTTGCAGCCCGAATATCGAACCTCGTATTTTGGTCAAGCTCCGTAGATGTAGCCGCTGCTATCTGCCGTGAGTGACGCCTCGCCTCTCGGTAGATGCGAACGTGAAGGGCGACGGTTACGCCAATTGCTAAAGTATATAATATCGAGCGCAAGCTTATGTAAAAAATAATCAGATAAACAGACGGCTTCGAATCATCTTTCAGATGCATGGCTTTCTTAGAAATATAAAACAAGAAGCCAGTAAAAATCCCAATCGCCCAGGTTACTATACATCCGAGTACAGCTTTTCTTTTTGTCACGTGTTGCAGGTATTGGAATGGTTTCATTATATACTTATATCTTTCTATTGCTATTACAACGATGTGCGTCTGGGAAATGCACCACTGAATTAATGGGATGTTACCCGTTGGTAACCTCACAAACAGACACGCTACTGATATGTCAGAGACCAGAATTCCGGTTATACAGGCGCCGAAAACTATCCCAGAAATGAAATCTGAAATCGCTAAGCTGGCCAGCAGCAAATACGACGGCTTCTGTAATGGCTCGAACTTAATAACAACAGCTATTATCAATCCGTTACCAATTAGAACAATCGGCATCAACATAAATATTACGATGGAGAAACATTGATAAAGGAAATTATAGTCATTCGGTTTACAAATCTGGCTATCAGTATCGTTGTTCATATTATATTCAATAGGTTCATCAAACAGTTCCATCTCATGTACCGTTTACAACTCTTGTGGCCGTCAAGTTAGCTAGATTCAAATGAGGTCTGATTAATAGTTAAATTAAACCACATGAAAATAAATGCGGCAGACGATCAATCAAATAAAGAAGCAATATTGTTAGTTCAATTACCTCTACACCACACTCATTAAGCCATTGTATAATGTACGTGGTGAAGCTATAAAAATGATTACAGGCAAATAAATTATGAAGCACATTAATTTCATGTATAGTTAAAAGTGTTTGTAAATATAATTTTATTAGATTTACATATTTTTGTCGATCTCTGTCATTTTGAATACTGTGAAAATTAGCTCACTGTCCTATCACAGATATCTATTTTTCAATCATGTTAACTTTGACCAGGGGCGGATCCAGAATTTTTCAAACGTGGGAAAGGGGGGGGGGGCACAGCAGTTTCAGAATGGGTGAGTAGCACATAACATTTATTTGCATTGACATTTTAAAAATTTAGTAGCAAAATGGGAGGCACTACTGGATCCGCCCTGTTTGAAATAATTGTACCTGCAACTGAAAGACACTATTAATGGTACCGGTAGTATATATCTTGATTTCCGTTCCCTTTCGAAATTTTTCAAATCAATAAGCCTCTCTTTTTTTTCTTTGTAGAACAACTTAAAATAATTGTAGGCCTATGTTATCATTTTATAGGTTTGATACAGGACGATTGTTAAAAGCAGATTGATTTCAATGAATCCTGTATAAATATGTTTCCAAAAATAAATAGACAATCAACTTTTATTTAGCAAAAATATGTGACATGTCTAAATATGGCCATAACATCACATTATGACCATAAGCACACATGGCTATATATGGGCATACAACAGTTGTTTGTCAAAGAAAATTAGATAATCTGGACAGAGCCTTATAAGTTGGAAATACTGACAAAAGTGGGAGGTTGTAAATCAAAGAAAAGTATCTTTGATGACAATGCTGGCACTGGTACTGGTATAGACATTTATAATGCGCCTCTTCCCTGAGGTTATAAAGCGCAGTTTTTTTTTTTGGTGTAGCTTCTGGTAATCAGCGACGAGCAGGCAACCCCACCACAACGCATTACATCTATGCATTCTAACATCTTGTTCAAAATCGATAATGTTTTATAAGAAAAAAAAATGCTTCACAATTATATTAACAAATGTGTTTATTTTTTAGCTGAAAAACTTCAATAAATATATTAATTACATTTTATTTTCTATATTATCTGCATAGACGATTAAGTAAACTGGTAACTAAGGATCTTTGTAGTAAAGTTGTTCAGTTGTTTTGATCTGTTTTTGAAGTTGATCTAAGTTATTGATTGATTTTGTTAATTGATTGATTTGATTGCTATTTGCTATCATAATATTTTTATGAATTTAAATTTAGATTATACAACTTCATAATCCTAACTTACTTTAAAAAAAATCTTATTGTTTTTTATGTTCTGAGGGTCCCATTAAATCAGCTCTGGCTGGACGGGCCACCCTGAGCATCTTCTCCGCAACTCGTCAAAGTGTCGCTATCCTCGTTATCACTTTCGTTAAGGCTTGAGCATGGATTCGTATTTTCAACGATGTTATTGCACATTTTTTGTTTAAATTTTTCACCTCAGGCTTGCCTAACTAGCATGCCGGCTATGGCTTCCTGATCTTCTTCGTTGCAGGTATTTTGCTTATTGCTAGATATGCTAGATCTTTCGTCCGTGACTACTTCCAGGGGCGGATTTAGGGGGGCCGGCCCGGAGGTAAAAAAAAGGAAAAAAAAGAAAAAAAGAGAGAAAAAGAAAAAAATGATAGCCCAGAATGCCTCAAATGTTATGTTCGGGCGTCTAGAACACAACAATTTTGCGGGGGCATGCCCCGGACCCCCTACGACAGTGTTGTCTCAATCGGCCCAACTTTCGGCCCCCCTTCCGGCCCCCCTTTTGGACATTTCTGGATCCGCCCCTGACTTCTGTGCAATTTCTGACAAATATGACATTTCTTCTCGCATTTTGGCACTCGAAAGGAACTTTTTTGGGACATGCGTTAGCCTTGTAACCTACTTCGTTTCACTGAAAAAAATTCTGTGTCAGTCTGACATTTGTGAAAGAGACGAGCTTTAAAGCCGTATTGTTAGTCTTTTTCTTTTTTGTATTCCTATCAGATTGTCACCCCTGATAATTTCACATAAAGCGAAGTATTGTTTTTTCATTTAAAGAATCATCACCCGCCTCTCGAACGTCGCTATCGTTAAAGAAAATAGGTTTTACGCTTAAAAAGTTTTCATCTTTTTGTTTTGTTGTTTACGTCATCAGCTGTTGTAAGCCAGGCCAATACTTACTTGCTTAAGTGGGTGCTTATTTTTGTTGTTAGCACCTTGGGTATAGTGCTTGTTCGCCATTGTTGGACGTTCTGTCGGCTTAGACATCGCCGTCACGATAACAAGTTTCCTTTGTGTATATCTGGTATATCACTAACTGTTTCTTGCAATCATAGCGATAACGTTAGCCTACTTTTAAACAATATTTAGGCCTCACTTAGAATCCGTAATTATCAACTGTACCGTACCAAGTACCGTAAACACGCCCAGGTAAACATCTTTATTGGTCACAATTAAAGTTACCTAAATAATATGTTTGAGTTTAAACAAAGCTTGAACATGAAATAATAAATACAAAATATAGGCCTATTTGGAACCAATTTATAAATTCAACCATTGATCAGAAATTAATGTATGTTCTTGGCTCTTTTCTACTAACTCTTCCAAAAGAAATTGAAGAAAATTCAAGTTTGTAAAAGTTATGCTAGAAGGGCATGGAAAAAGAGAAAATGAACCTTTTTGACTTTAGTCCTGTATTACTTTCAATAACTTGTACATTTGATTTACTTTTATGTGTATCTGTCTGATCAGGCTTGATATGCGTGTTTCATGTGTGATTGGTGGTGTTGTATATGTACTGTATGTCTAGCCCTATATGTTTGTATTTTGGGAGCACACTACAGTCATGTGTCCATGGGTATGCAATTTTGTATGGATATGTATGTACCTATGTATGTGTGTTACAAGTAATGTTTGTGTGGCGTCTGTATAATTTGTTCATGTGTGTCAGCTTGCATCACTTTCTTTTGCTTTAAGTTTTTAGTTTAAAATTGCATTTAAGTTTTTTACATTACTTAACTTAATTTTTTTTTTTTCAATTTATTCACCATACCTTGATGTCCCGTTTGAAATTTGAATGTTTTTACCTTAGCTTTTTATTCTGTAAACTTCACTGTATTGTTTTTGGACGGACCTTCTATCGAGAGATATGCCACTGATGGAAAGTGTAGTTCCTAATAAATCATTATATATATTATTAATAAAATAAAATAGAAAAGAAAACAGTGTATAATCAACCAAATTTTATTAACCTTTCCTAAGATTACATAACCACACATACAAGTACAGTACAACTTAACACCATCAAATATCCCACCATTTTCATTTAAAAGACTTGGTACATAAATGCGTACGACACTGATAGTAAAACAAAATGGAACGATCTTTACCCACCAGAATCAGAACGAAGTTAAGATTCAGCATAATACAATAGTACTATGGTATTACATACTAAGAACTTTGTTTTGATGTATGTTTTGTGTCCGTGATATATGATCAGCTGTTCAGCGGATGGTGGGCATAAAGGTAGGCCCGATTTAAAATCGATAAAGGAAATCTGGTTCTTACAATGATAACTTTATTTAAGCCTATATATTAAAAGGTGAGAAATTAACCTCCTGCCTTGTTGCTTTTTAAATACAATTAATTCTACGGAAGAGGTTATTCCATCTAACTTTGGTATCATTGTACATGCAGTAACATTGGTTGATCTCGGTTTCCCAAATTGCATCATCAACGGATTAACATCAGAGTCATTTGTGCACTTGTAAAATTGTCTTCACGTGTGTGTAAAGTACTTATACATATACATGGGTCTAATGATATATTGGTGAGCTAATATGATACAATCACCTAATCATCTTTTTAATCAGATGCAAGACTCAACTAAGAATACACCTTTTTTTTATATTTCAAAAGGAAAACAACTAGACGAATTTGAATAGTCATTAGTCAGATAGCCTGAATTAAAGAAAATCCAAAACATTTTCTAGATCTATAAATAATATTGTTTAAATTTACTCTTGGGTCAATATTAACTGTAGATTTAAACTTTTAAATCTACAGTTGAGATTGACCCAAGTGTAAATTTAAACAATATTTATAGGTCTAGATCGAACTTTTTAAAAAAAATATAATTTGAGTTTGTTTTGATTTCACTGTATACGCGTTGATTAAACAGAATGCAAAAACATTGAATAAAATATTGCCTTGTTTCTGTGATTTCTTAGGAAGAGCGATGGCCGAAGATGGAGCAACCCGCAACAAATTTATTCATAAAAACGACAACACATCTATTTAGCATACTTTTGTTATCGTCGGAAACATTGTTATTTTCAGTATGAAGTTGAAAATAGTTTTCAATACTATCAGCTTTATGTCTTTTATTGTCAGTTTTAATCAAAATTGTCATAAAGATTGGAATTACGCACATAATACAAGTGAAACAATTCGCTGCGAGAAGGTTCCAGTTTTCAAGAATTATATCATACATGTAAACGGAAAGGTACGATGTGATTTCCACTATAAAAACGATTAATGAAGCCGACAGTGACTCTGACTCTGGATAAGTTAGCTCAGCCCCGTGTTCAAATCCAATTGTGAAAAATATACGAGCAAAAACATAATAGATGGAAAAAAATACGATAGAACACCAAAAGTATTCATATTGCATTGATATGGTGAAGCAAACAAATGTTACAAAAACTAGCAAAACTGTCACTCGTGTGGTTAACGAGTACTGTTTTGTTTTGTCCAACATCCAACCAACAGCTACAGACCCAACAATTACAAGAAGTATACTAAAAAAAACCATAGGGCCAACTATATTACCTTTGTTTGGATAAGAATATAAAAAAATATCTTTCACCTTAACAGTGATAACTGTCGACTGTCCTATACATAGTCCAGACGCTATTGCAAGTAACATAAAGTTTCTGTTCATCATGATAACTTTGATCGATTTGGAGAGAGTATCTTGTTTTCCATAAACTGAATTCTTTTTCTGAACACTAGGTGGAAATGGTGGTTTGTCTTCAAATATAAATGCGATTATAGGAAATATTACTGACATAAATATTGCTGTTCCAAGAAAAATGAACTGGAGTTTACGACCAATATTGTTCTGGTTATGAAATATATAAGGTGTGAGAAATCCGGTTGCAATTCCAAAATTAAATGCAGTGAATCCAAGTGCACATGCTAAGGAAACTTCGTTTGATCCAAACCAAGTCCCCGACACTTGTGAAGCCATTCCAGCACAGCATGTGTGAGCAATTCCACATAACGTCTGACCGATGAGGCTAACGTAGATTGAATTCTGAAAAAGTATGCCAACATAACGGATCCAAGATCCAACCAAGTGCAGTCCACCACAACACATAGCAATCACTTTCAAGCCTTTTCTTTCTAATATAAACAAAGCCAGGAATATGAGCATTATGTACGCTATTCCATATATTGCGCTAAATGTGTCGATAGTTGGCATGCTAACGTCGAAATGCATTTGGATGTCGTCTGAAATTGACGCATACTGCACCCACATCAGGCCGTTTGAAAATTGTAGGCTCATGAATATTGCCAACATGATCCATCGTCGAGAGTACAGACGGCACTCATTGGAATGAATTAATGAAAGCTGTTCCTGTGGAATATCGGCCATGCCTTCATTCCCTAAAAGATTAATGCCGCTACCACCACACAAGTTTCTGGTATTGTGTTGTACTTCTCAATGTGTTGATCTGGACTGAATTGGTCACAATAAACGTGTGATCATTGTCAGGTGTGAGTTGAATCGGACAAATTATTATTCATCCAAAACCCATTCATCCAAAACTTTGTGTGCTCCAACAGGGTATTACTTTGTAGTGCATAATACTGTGGTACGAAGCGTACGTATTGAATACCTGATTGGATAGCCTAGAAATAATTCAAAGAATACTAAACTGTTCAATGACTTTTAAAAATTTTAGAGAACAATCCTCTTGCCTTCTGGCAGTGAAGCGGATTTGAAATGTACAGTAGTAGGCCTAGATTGCGATTGAGTAGGCCTACATGTTAAGAAACTAGTCGTGGTTATTGAAACTTAAAAAAAAAAAAAACTGACGCCAATAGAAGTATATTCACACGTCATTTAAATCGTGTACAGAATAGTTAACAACTTTAAATAATCAAACAATAACGTGCCTGCCGACATTACAATTGCTTTAGAACTTCAAAAGTAATTTTGTAGCAAAGCACCATGGTACGGACTATTCCATCTTTCGACTTTTGAGTCGGCTCAGGTCCCGCAATTCAATTTAATTCATTTATTCGCCTCAACAGGTTACCATATGAACACCAAAAAAAAAAAAAAAAAAAAAAAAAAAACAGACAAAAAGACTAGATTTATGATTATATAATAATTACTTCAGTTTCCATAATTTAATTTTATATTATATTGAATTATTGTCACAGGCCATTAGTAAACTGAGTAGAGTACAGCAGTAGGTAGTATTCCACGTTGATATTCGAGGCATAGTGCGGTCAAATTCATGTAAGATTTATTAAATGTTTTATGCATCTCATGTTATTGCATTGTATATTTAAGTATATAAATAATTATGACATGTGTACAAGTTCATGTTGTATTTTAATAATTATGGAGATTTCGTGTTCCGTATATCTAGTCACAAAAGAAAAAAAACCCCAAGAGACAATAAAGTTGCAAGTACGTTATTAGGTAGTTTTCGCTGCTCGACAACCTTAACTTTAACGTTAGTACCAAACATGCAGCGCGATAGCTCCGCCCCTTTTGTAAACAAATCGAAATACGCATGCGCAAACCCGTAGCTAACGTACGTCAAGCACGTAAAATCCTGAAATTAATGTAATCCGCAACGCAAGATCAATAAATGATGACGTCATCCGTTAACGTTAAGTTACCGTCGTGCGGCGAAAACTGCCTATACTCAGACGACTACGTCGTTTTATCTAACAAAATGCGATTTGACAGGAAACCGATTGCGACTGGTGCGTTGTGAAATCGACGTAACGTAAGGTTAAATCGTCGCAAAGCAATGTTGGACAGGAAACCGTCGTATTGAATTTTCATGCGATACGTCGATTTTCCACGATTTGACAGGAAACCGCGATTCAGTGACTTATGCTTGAGTAATCATGCTTGCGTTGCCTTGTGTTAAGCCTGGTTTCCTGTCGACGTAAAGGTCAGAATTTCTTACGTTTCATACGTTTCTTACGATTCTTACGACTCTTACGCAAAGTTGAAATAAAGCCGACGTCAACGACGTTTGCGTTGATCGTGTTGGGCCGCAGATAAACAAGCAATTTTCAGTCGCTTACGAAAGTTGAACTTACGACGTTGAACTCCATCCAGAGTCCAAAACGAGCGCTTGCGACTGCTACGTTGAGTTGAGTTTTTCTTGCGATACGACGACATAAAAATGACGTAATTTGTAATCACTTACGATTGGCTGCCTTTCCCACTAATCTGCCCTTGTTTACCCAGGGTTTTCGCGCGAAGTGTAGGCCTCTACTTCTTTATGAGCTGCACTGTAAATGTTAGCAAAACGTCTAACATTAATAACATGGATTATTGCAAAGAAGTTAGGCCTACGTTATTAAAATACAAAAAGGCCTATTTGATGTTTGTAAAATTCATTTTGTTTCACAAAATAATGATGCTTCGAACATTCCCTGAACATTCGTGTTTCATACCACCAAATTTTAATTCTGGGAAACTGAATTAATTAGCCATGGCCTCGAGGTGCTTTTCACCCAATCTATTTTGAGAGAAAGATTAGGACAAAAAAAAAAAAAAAAAAAAAAATCGGTACGTGGGAAAGTTGGATTGGTGGAAAACTTTAGCCCTAATTGGCAAAATAGATATAAAACGGTCTTCACTCCTGCTGTATAAATGACCCCCTTGGTTTGTGATAAAATTTGTTATTTTCATTTTTACTTCTCTTCTCATTGAAATTTCGCAACGACCAACAAATTTGTTGCAGTATTATATTATTATACTATCATTGTCGTCATTACCATAATCAAACAGTGCTGCTGAGCTAGTGCTACTAATCCACTGGCATGTAGGCCTATTTGTGTGTAACTGATACATTTTACAACCCCGGGTTTTAAGAACACTGGGACTGCTGAAATTGCTTTAACAATAAGAACAAATTCATGTAAAATTTCAAATGCAATAATTATGGTTTTTTTTTAATCTAGAAAAAATATTTTAGTCTTATTTTTACATAGGCACAGTAGGTGTGACAATGACGATATCCTTTGTAATACAGTACAGTATATTTGCTGTGAAATAGTATT